GACCCATCATTCCACAGAAGATACAAGTCAACCCTGGTGACTCCGCGACTCGCACTACTTTTGCGCAATGACCACTGACATCAAAACACTGGTACCTGGGCAGCTGCTGCGGCCAGCATATGGTAGGATCCATTCGATACATCTCAAACATCAGCCGCGCTCCCGCCACTTACATCACCATCGCCAACAACGAGCAACTGTGAGCAAGTGCGCAAGGCATCGTGGTGTTGCAAGCCCAATACAGCAACACACACATCTCATTCAACGACGTGCTCTACGTCCCGGATCTTTGCTTCAACTTACTATCGGCAGGACAACTCAGAGACTGCGGAGTCATGCTCGCCACAGACACATATACTTGCGACCTCATTCTCACCTATGCTCCCCTAGACATGCCTCTCGAATCGCACAAATACCTCTGCAAAGCTGGCTCGATGGACGGCGTCTACGTACTGGACTTCGACTTACCCAGTTGGCAGACTTCATTAGACGAGGTCGTTGACCTCGTTCCTCTAGACTTTTTGTTCATAAATAAGGAGTCATGGCAGCATCCAAATAGACAGTCGTGGATCCGCCGCAGTCCTCATCCTTGTGAGATAAATCTGCACCAACCCGGCCCTTGAAAGACTCTGCACCACCTGCTTCACACCCACTGCAAGCCGCACGGAAGTAGTGGAGAGAGGTCTCGAGGCAATTCAAGAAGCAGAAAGCATCAAGGCGGAACCTGAAGGCATGACAGACATAGAGCTGGCCGACATGTCCCATCACATCTTCGGCACTGGAAACTAAGAATTCAAGATGACGCCGAAAGAACGTCCTACACCACGCTCGTAGACACTCTGTTTCGTCCTCGAAGCTAACACCGGAACTCTTGACGAGGAAAATCGTCCGCGCCCCTACACCCGCGACGTCTATCGCACCGTCATCGACAAAAAGTGGAAAGACCCAGACGAACCTGAGGAGCTGAGTTTTCACGAGAAGGAAGAAAAGGCAAGGGCAGAATAGAAAGCGAAGCTGTATGAGGAGCGCATCGTGGCTGGATGGGACGAAGAGTCAGCACGACGTGGTGGATGGGGAGATGAAAGCGACAACGGCGACGACACCTCCGGAGCAACATGGAGATCCGCAACTAGCGTGTCTGGCACCGTCCAAGGATGGGAAAGTGGCGCGTGGGGCGAACCCGAACGCCGAGAATTCGCCGAAGGCGATCTTACTCAAGAGGAACTCGAGGCGGCTGAGCGAGAGATGGCAGCTGAGAGACCATCTCCACGAATCATCGTCCCACTCGGACGACCCCCACGCAACCTTCCCTCACCACCCAGCTAACCGTATCACTGGGAAAACCCCTGGTTGGAGATTGAGGAGGGGAATGTACCAGCAACTCCCCCCCGCGACTCGCTTGGGCCAATCGCCCGCCCAGATCCATTCGCCTGCTTTGTCGAGGGCACCAGGACTCCACTCAACATCATCCCCGACCACAACATTCTCGCGCTCTACCTCACGACGGCACCTGCAAAAGGGGAGATGGCAGAAGTAGAAGCAGAGGAGCCGGACGACAAAGGAGAACTAGGAGAAGAAGGACCAGTGCTCCTAATTACCGACGAGACAAAAGCAGAGGCGGCAGAACATCACGCACGTTACATGCGCACTTCCGGAATTCGCGCAGATGAAGACCTCTGGCATCAGCGACTCGGTCACCCCTCACGTGAGACGTTCAACAACTGCCTCCGCGCTAAAGTTTTTCTGCCATGAGCACTGCTGCGCCCTGATGGCACGGAACCCTTCAGCACGTCACACCCAACTACTTGCACCATCTGCCTTACTGCAGCCCTCACGCACCAAGCCTACCCTTCCCTGGAACCGAGCACCAATCGCTAGAAGAAGCTGCATAAATTCTACAGCGACTTCATCGTGCTCACCTTCGACGGCATAAACGGAGAACGATACACCCTCACCTTCGTGAATTTGTACTCATGCCACGTCTGGATCGCCAACGTTGACGTTCGTTCCAAGGCTCCTGAGGTCTTCCGCATCTGGCTCGCACACACGCAACAACAATCAGGGAAGAATCTGAAAATTTTGGCAGACTGACTGCACCAAGGAGTTTCGCAGCAACAAACTAGAGAGCATTGTCGCAGAGAAGGGGATTAAGCATCAGATCTCTCTCCCCTACGCTCACCAGTAGCAAAGCATCGCAGAGAGGGTTAATCGCACCTTCATGACAAAAGTGTACGCCCTCATGAACCAGTCCGGCCTACCCAAGAAATACTGGCCGTATGCCATGAATCACGTCGTGCGAATGCACAACCTCCTCTCCACCACGGCCAACAAGGGCAATCTCTCCCCACACATGAAGTGGACCGGCTCAAGGGGAGACACCTCCATGCTGAGAGTTTGGGGGTGCATGGTGCAGTATCGACCAACCTCAGTCCACGACCGTCAAGTATACCAAGGCTGGCTGATCCTGGACATTAACACCAAACAGATCGTCCCTGCCCGCGACATCCTCTTCTACGAGCGTCTCACCTTGCAGCAGTGGATCGAGGACGAGAGCTGCAACGTCGCACGCGCCTACGCCAACAATGGCTGCCTGAAGACGAGGCAGCAGCAGCAGCACTCGATCGCGAACCCGCCGACGAACATCCCAGCATCCCGCCTCGACCGCGCAATGACAATGACGATGATGATAATGACGATGCCCCCGCGCCAGGACCATCCCGTTGCCACACTCAGCCCAGCACTTCCTTCCCTGACCACGAGAGTGACGATGACGATGTGGTGGAGGTCACCACCAGATACACCACAAGCACCACCAATGTGTCTGGGCTATAGCTTCTCGGCCTACACACGTTAGTTACCACTCTCACGTGCGTCGTCGAGCACAAGAACCCTCGCCAGGCCCTAACCGGTCCTCACGCCAAGGAGTGGCATGCTGCTATGGACGCGGAATTGAAGGCGCTGGAATCACGCGACACATGGGTCCTAGTCGATCGTGCAGCAATGAAGGGGAGGAGGGTGCTAAGTGGAAAATGGGTTTTTTTTTTTTGAAAACCAACGCTGATGGCACTATCGAGCGTTTTAAGGCACGCTGGATCATACGAGGGTACGACCAGCGCCATGGTATTGATTTCTATCAAGCCTTCGCTCCTGTCAGGTGTCACACCTCCGTCAGAATTCTACTCGCCATTGCCGCCGCAAAACATTTGCCACTGCGACAGATCGACGTCAAGAACGCGTTTTTGTACGCGCCGGTGGATGCAACCATCTTCGTGGAGCAGCCACACACCTACGGAGAAGGAGACGCAAGGGTCTATCAGCTGAAGAAATCCCTCTACGGGATATAGCAGGCGTCGCGTCTCTGGCAGCAGCATCTGCACAAAATCCTCCTGGAAATAGGCTTCAGGCAGTTGCCGCACGACCCGGGAATGTACCCCCTTCACTTCAACGGCGAGTACATCCTTCTGACCGTCTACGTCGACGACCTGCTGTACACCGGTACCTGCAACAAGCTTCTTAATTAGTTCGAGGAGAACCTGGTGCAGCACGTTGACATCACCATCAACCACAACGTCACACAGTTTTTGGGGCTGAACATCACCTACGCGCTACAAGCAATTCATCTGTCAGCCTTCAAGTACGCAGAGCAGCTCGGGGGACGCTTCAACATTTCACCCGCACCAATGTCAACTCCTTACCACAACCCCAGCGCCAACTACAAACCGGACAACAAACCTGCAGCAACTGGGGTGCTTGCTGTTCGCCTCTATCACATGCTGACCCGACATTTCGTACATCGCCAGCCAACTGGCACAGTACTCTCGCAAGCCAGTAGTTGAGAACCAGCTGGACCTGGAGCGCGCCCTGCAGTACTTCACCTCCGCACCTGACATCGGGCTCTCCTACTCCACGCTGACGACATCCTCCTTCAACCTCAACGGCTACATGGACGCAGATCATGCCGCTGATCCTGCGAATCGACGGCCACGAACCGGCTTTGTTTTTTTAGTGGAGCCAACATGACCAATCTCCTGGAACTCACAGAAGCAAGAGCTGGTTGCCCTTTCGTTGGCTGAAGCAGAGTACATTGCCGCGACAGCAGAGCAGCAAGGTTTGTACCTGCAGGAGCTGCTGCGGGAATCGAAAATTCAAACTTCGCCCACCTTTCGCCTTCACTGTGACAACCAGAGCGCCATCAAGATCGCAAACAAGCCAGGATTCGTGAACCGCACGAAGCACATCGCGCTTCGGTACTTTTCGTACAGGGAAAAGTTGACCTTGCGTACAGCCCCGCCACCGAGATGGCAGCCGACTTCCTCACCAAGCGACTGCCACGTCAACAGTACAAGCACTGCTCCGACCTCTCCGAAGAAGTCAAGCGAGTCAGGCCCCTGTGCGCCCAGGTATGAAGAGGAGTGTTACGATATGAAACTTTATGAGATGGAATTCATGTATGCTGCAGGAGCCGAATCTACCGATGCTGGCATAAACATTTGAAATGAAAAGAGCGGGAACAGGCTTAAAATGGGTTCCCGCGCCGTACGGTTTTAAGTTCGCTGTAATAAGGGAATGTACCCCTTAGAGTACATGGCTAGTCTAGGTCGTTTCGTATTCTTGTATTTCCTATATAAACTCGATGTATGCATGCTATTATCATCTCAATAATTTACATTCACTCTGATCTGAGGTCAACACTTCCGCTGCAACATCCCTGCGATCAAACCTGAGCGACATTCGCTGAGTCCCACTTGGGATTGTAATAGAGCTCAAAACCATGTATCTCATAAAGGTCAAACTGAAAAGACCCGGGTCTATAAAGTATATGCCACATATTTAGACCCCCCCCATATTTTGAGGTGCGATTATCATAATACCCCCGGGTCTTATATACGGGGGTTTGCGGTATGTCTCTAGCCTGTAGTGGGGCATACTCTAAAGGGTACAACACATTAGGTCAACCCTACTTGTATCACCCTGCTGCATAGTTCATTCATTCCTGCCTATTAATTCTGGCAAGTGGGTGCGATAGGGGTAGGTGAGCTGCGGGGAGGGGCGAGAGGTGGTAGGTGGGCCGAGGGGGAGGGGAGGGGCGGGAGAATCGGATAGGCTGAGAGGGAGACGCGGGCTGGGGGAAGAAACGAGGTGGGCTGGGCTGAGAAAGAAGAGGGCTGGGTAGGGGAAATGTGCGACCAGTAGGGGCGAGAAAATGAGGTGGTTTGGGGGCGGCGCGAGACAATCGGGTGGGCCGGGGGGGAGGGCCAAAGTCTGAGGTAACGGGCACATTTCAGGGATCCATTAGTAGAACTACAGGATCAGCGTACACTAAATAGACAAGGTATATATAAAATGGCTGAAAAGTCAATTCCCCATCCTACTCAATTCACACATTCCTATATCCATGTTAGAGTAGGTACGTTCCTTAGGGCCCACCGAACGTTCCGCCCCGCCCGGACTTGAAACATTTTTTTCCTGCCCTGCTGCCTAGCGCCAGCGCACGCCTTACTGCCCTGCCCGCGCGTGCCTAGCTGCCATGCTACTGAACGCCCTGCTGCCCTGCCTGAGCGCCGCCCTGTCCGCGCGCGCTCTGCCTGCAGCTGCGCCGCCCTGCCTGCCCGCGCGCTCTGCACGCGCACCCTGCTGCCCACAGTGCCAGCGCGCCCTGCTGCCCAGCATGCCAGCACGCCCCGCTGTCCAGCGCGCCAACGCGCCCCGCTGCCCAGCACGCCCCGCTGCCCAACGCGCCAGCGCGCCCATCTGCCCAGCGCGCCAGCGCGCCCCACGCGCCAGAGCGCCCCGCTGCCCGACACGCCACCGCGCCCCACTGCCCAACGCGCCCCGCTGCCCAACGCGCCCCGCTGCCCAACGCGCTAACGCGCCCCGCTGCCCAGCGCGCCAGTGCGCCCCGCTGCCCAGGGCGCCAGCGCGCCCCGCTGCCCAGCGCGCCCTGCTGCACAGCGTGCCAGCGCTCCCTGCTGCCCAGCGCGCTGGCGCGCCCTGCTTAACCCTCTAAAGAAAAAAAAAAAAAAACAAACAAACAAACAAACAAACAAACAAACAAAGCCCTATGTGCTACTGCCTTAGATGCTACTGCCTGCTACTGCCCTAGGTGTTGCCGTCTGCTGCTGCCGCCCTAGGTGCTACCGCCTGCTGTTGCCACCCTAGGTGCTGCTGCCACCCGAGTGCGCTGCCCCGCGCTGCCCTACCCCGCGCTAGTGTCGCCTTGCCCCGGGTGCTGCTACTCCCGCATGTGCTACTGCTGCTACGCATCTGTTGCTACTAGCTGCCACTTCTTGCCATGGCCACTACCAATGTCCAACGTCAGCGGCAGCCGAGTGTGCAGGAGTCTCTCTCGCCACAGCAGCTTCGCGAGTGGGCTATCTGGTGCGGCAGCCCCGGTGGCGGAGCTAGCCGTGCTAGGGCTGGAGGTGCTGGTGCTAGCGGTCCTCGTACACGTCGGCGGGAGCCGCTCTCGTCGCAGCAGCTTCGCAAGACGGCTGTCCGGTGGGGCAGCCCCGGTGGCGGAGCCTGGTGTACTGCTACTGGAGGTCCGTGTGAGTCTACTCCTGCTAGTAGTGCCGCTGGTAGACGCAAAGCTTTTGGGGGTGGACAGCAGTGGCAGCAGCGTCCGTCACAGACTCTCTCCCCGCAGCAGCTTCGTGAGTGGGCTGTCCGGTGGGGCAGCCCCAGTGGCGGAGCTTGGGGTACTAGTGCCTGGTGGCGTAGAGGCTGCTAGTATTGGTGCTTTTGACTCAGCTAGCATAGGTGCAGAGCCTGAGGAGGCCTTGCACCCTGGGTCTGGCCTGTACACACTGACTACTGAGTCTGCACAGGTAGGTGAGTCAGGTCAGGTAGCTGCGTCGGTTGAGGTCGTTGCCTCTTGCTCGTGTCGTCTCCTCACACACCAGACTCTCCGCTGGCACCACTGTCTTCGCCACCCCTCCTTGCCATGCCTTCGTGGCATGCACTCCCGTCTCCTTGTCTCTGGGCTTCCCAGGTCCCTGCCCCCGCTCCCGAGGTCGTTTGCGTGCCTTCCCTGCATCGAGGGGCGGCAGCGCGCCGCTCCTCACTCCTCCTCGTTTCCTCCGACCATAGCTCCTCTGCAGATCCTCCGCATGGACGTGTGGGGTCCAGCCCGAGTCCCTGGACAGGGCGGAGAGCGCTACTTCCTGCTGGTTGTAGACGAATACACGCACTACACGACGGTCTTCCCCTTGCAGAGCAAGGCGAAAGTCCGCAGTGTGCTGATCCGCTGGATCCGTGCTGTCCGTCGCCAACTCAGTGCTCGTTTTCAGCAGGACCTCCCGGTCCTGCGACAGCACTCTGACTGAGGCGGCTGCTCCCCATTTTTTGTGGTCGTTTGCGGTCCGATACGCTGCTGAGCAACTCAACCTCTGGCTCTGTGTCTCCCACCCGGAGACCTCTCCCACTCTGCGGTGGACGGGCGAGGTTGGTGATGCGTCACCGTTTCGGGTCTGGGGTGCTCTTTTGCTTGTTCGCGTCCCCCTCGCGGGGAAGCTCTCTCCCTGCACTCTTTGCTGCATCTTCCTTGGCTTCCCTACCGACGCCCCGGGCTGGCAGTTTTACCACCCGGGTTTCCGTCGTGTTCCCTCCTCCCAGGACGTCACCTTTGACGAGTCTACCTGTTTCTACCGTCTCCACCCCCACCGCAGTTCCCCCGTGCCCCTCCCGCCTCTCGCACTGGTCTCCGACCCCCCCCGGTAGCCCCACACCCCCCTCAGGGTCCTACACCCTCAGGTGTGTCTCAGGTTGACCCGTCCCCCTTGGTTGAGCCAGACGAGGTCTCCTCTGACACCTCTGGCCCAGCTGAGGGGGGTGACCCGACTCCTGCTGCCACCGGGACCCCTCGCCGCTCTGCGCACTTGGCGGTCCCTCCTGGGTTACCGCCTCGACCATCTTCACCGCCGCTGCAGCCTGTCGCTGTGGACTCTGGTGCTGCAGGAGGTGGTACCACTGGGAGTGCTGGTTCTGGGGGTGCTGAGTGTCCTCTGGGTACGGGAGGTACTGGTGGTCCTGGTACGAGTCGGCAGGAGGCTCTCTCGCCGGAGCGGCTTCGCGAGTGGGCTGTCTAGTGGGGCAGCTCTGGTGGTGGAGCTAGCCGTGCTCGTACTACTAGAGCTGGAGGTGCTAGGACTCCTGGTGCTGCTGGATGTGCTGGAGGTGCTGCTGCGGGTAGTCCTCGCTCACGTCGCCAGGAGTCTCTCTCGCCGCATCGGCTTCGCGGGTGGGCTGTCCGTTGGGGCAGCCCTGGTGGTGGCAGTGGAAGTGCTGGAGCTGCATGTTCTGGAGGTGCTGGCCCTGAAGGTGCTAGTGCTGGTGTTCCAGGTACTGGAGGCGCAGGTGCTGCTGGAGGTACTGGAGGTACTGGCCCTAGAGGTGCTAGTATTGGTGTTCTTGGAGTTGGCCGTACTGGAGGTACTGGTACTGGAGGCGGTGCTGACACTGGAGGTACTCTTGGAGGTTCTGGGGGTGCTGGAGTTAGTGGTGCTAGTCAGCAGGAGTCGCTCTCGCAACTGCAGCTTCGCGAGTGGGCTCTCCGTTGGGGCAGTCCCAGTGGGGGAGCTGGTGGTACTGGTTTTGGGGGTGCTGTTGCTACTGGAGCTGGAGGTTTTGGGGGTGCGACTACTCAGCCGCAGCCGTCTGCGCTTCGTCACCTTCTCAGTCTCCTGCCTGCTGCTACAGAGTTCCCGATAGCTGGTACTACTCCTCCGTTACTGTTCCCACCGACTGACCAGTATTAGCCACAGCTACTGCCTGCTTCCCCGCTGCCTGCTCCTGCTCCTCACACTGAGGTGACTGAGTACCTGACTGCTCGTCGTGAGCCTGAGACTCGTGCTTCTACTCGTGAGCGTCAAAAGCCTGAGACTAGAGCTTTTGTCCCAGCTCATGTTCGTCGTATTCGTCGTCCTCGTGCTCCGGCTATACCAGGCACTCACGATATGACACTCCGTCCTTCCTCTGTTCCACAGCATGTTGTCCTGCCGTCACCTCCTGCATCCTCTCTTCCGCACGTTCCTGACCCTGGGTCTGACCTTGTCCGTTCTGCCAGTCCGACTGTCACTCGTCTCCTTGCCACAATTGTGACTGACCCTTCCTTTGAGTCTGTTGTTGCGTCTGCCTTAGTTGCTGAGCTTGTTGACTTTGCCACTTTGTGCTGCCTTGACTATGCTACGAGTCTTGTTTTTTACTCTTCCTGTCCTCCGTCCGTCATGGGTGAGCTTGCCCTTGGCTCTGACGTCCTTGAGGACAGGCAGTTTGAGCTGGATTGCCTCGCGGCCGCTGCACCTCATCTCGCGTCCACGCTGCTTTGCCCTGAGGGAGACACGGATGCACTAGACATCCCGACCCCACACACTTACGCAGAGGCGATCACGGGTCCCTACTCCTCTCAGTGGCAGATAGCCATGGATGCAGAGATGGCTTCCTAGAAGTCCACAGGCACCTACGTCGACGAGGTTCCCCCACCTTTGGCGAACATAGTCGATGGCATGTGGATTTTCAGGGTGAAGCGGCCGCCGGGTTCTCCGCTTGCCTTCAAGGCGTGTTACGTTGCACGAGGCTTCAGTCAGCGTGAGGGGGTTAACTTTATTCAGACCTTCTCCCCCACCTCAAAAATGACCACTCTTCGGGTGCTACTGCACGTTACAACACAGCGCGACTACGAGTTGCACTCCCTCGACTTCTTGACAGCCTTCTTGCAGGGCAGCCTTCACAAGGCTGTTTAGTTGCACCGTCCACGTGGCTTCTTGGGTCCGTCTCTAAGGGTACCCAGTGGAGTCTTCGGCGACCAGTGTACGGCCTACGACAGACGCCCTACGAGTGGCGCCTACGACACACTGAGGACTACATTTGCGGTTCTTGGCTTCACTTCCTCGACTGCTGATCCTTCATTGTTTTTGCGCACAGACACTTCTCTGCCGCCGTTCTACGTTCTCGTGTACGTTGACTACTTGGTTTTTGCTACTGCTGACACTGAGGCTCTGGCCTTGGTGAAGGCGGAGCTGCAGGAGTGACACATGTTGGTGCAACCCTACGGTTTGCACTCGGCTTGTTGTCCGTGTGCGTGCATGCGTGTGTGCATGGAATAGAATGAGTGCATGAAATAAATATATATTTCATGCTTATAATAGTGTGTGAATGATGGGTCATGATGTCGAGTGTGTGTGTCAAGTCAATAGCGAATTATCGCTAGTCGCGTGTAACGTGGTCGTTTTGTATGTCCCGCATGGTTTCTATTTTGTCGTGCG